TCACCGTCTCTGAGGATGTCAATGTGTGTTTGTACTGTGGTAGCACCAAACATGGTCACCTTGAATGTGAACATGAGAAGAAGGATGAAGTCAGAAAGGTGCTAAAGGCCGTCCGAGCGTCGCTCGAGGCTGATAGTCCCACATCTGATGACGTCGATATGGAACCTCCTGAGCACAAGAAGGACGGATCAGGTGCTACTGAAGGGTCGGGGCAAACGGATGAACCTACAAAACCGAGGTTTAGTGAACACCAGTGGTACGACAGCATCAGGACTATGTCCGAAGTCGGAGACCTCGATGAGTATGGTAGGTTCTGCATTGAAGGACGTGATGTTACAAAGCTAGGACCACAGAACGTCGTTGACCTCAACGAAGTGATCCGGGACGCTATTGTCAGAGGAGGAGGTGACACTAGGTCAGTGCCAGAATTCCTTGCAAGCTACTCTGACAACAACATCAGAAAGCCCTTCTACAAACGAATCGAGGCGCCGCAAGATGGTTTCTTGAAAATCATCCCTACCACGGGAGCCCATTTCTTCAACTGCTTTTACTTTGGCGGTGTGGAATATGCGGCCAACTATCGCTTCGAAACTGGCAACCGACTCGACAGCTACGAGGACAAGGTGAGTACCTCACTGAACAGGATCCTACGTCACAATGTGGGGAAGGTATCAGAGTCACAGAGTCTGTTCTGCGATGACGCCGGCTGGGTGCCCATCGAGGAAGTGCTCAAATGTGAGTCCATCTGGAGACATGAGCACGCACGCTGGCCACACGTCTTCCTCGCCCCCAAAGGAAGAGCAAATGATCAAAGTGCATGGAATGTCAATGAGGCGAATTATCGCATGACATTACTGTTCAAGATCATGTTCCATTGTGCTCGATATGGACGTCGTGTGCGTGAACAAGTCTTGGCATTCGGGATCAACAAGGACATTGATCGCAGCAGCCTGACGTGCATTGACAACAAGGTCGATGCGGACACGCACATCCCTGACGAAGGGCTACTGCTCTATCCAGTGGCAGTCCGCGCTCCAACGGGGCACAAGGAAGGATCTTCCAGAGATGACGTCTCATTGCTGTCATCGTTGCTTTCGCATCCAATCGCACCCAACACCATCATGTCATTACCGGTCTGCTTCCACATCACAAAGAAGACCAACCTCCGAAGCATTTGGAGGCAAGGGTTAATCCCGGGAGGTCTTGGAGAAGGTCATCGGATGTTCACGTTCTTCAACCCGTATGTGCCATGGGATCACAGGTCATGGACCATCACGAAGAGCGTTGATACGCGAAAGGGAGACTTTATCTGCCTATTCATCCCGACCGAGACCTTGATGGTGGAATATGGCGGTCGATTGACTGACTCGGGACAGATCGTTTCACCAAAGATCATCCCGTTCTCGGCGATCAAAGGAGGATGGATTCAGGATCCCAAGGACCAGTACAACAAGACATGGCTCCGGTTGTTCGTCCCGTCGGGCGACGACCAGGTAGTCCGGTCTGGCACTGTCAAATCAAGAACTGTAGCCACTAAGGAGTCCATCCTGAGGGTCGCAAGTCAATGCATCGACGCCGAAGACCAACCGTATGACGAGATCACCATGGATGCCATGAACATCGTCCATCAATTCAGGAACAACCTCATTGAGCCTGGCGGACAAGAGCAATACCTGGCCCGCATCAAGCTGATTGACTACATAGTCGAACGCAAAAGGGTGCAAACATCAGGTTGCCGTCATTGTCCTCATTGTCTCAACGAGACGCCGACGAAGCTTGCAGTGTGTCTAGTTTGCTGGACAGAACTTGAAAGCTGTGGAATTCGTCCATATCGGCTACAAGCTCCTGAAGACGATGAGGATGAGGCCACGAAGAAAGAGCTCGATGAAGAGGTTCGTCGACAAGAAGAATCGTTGTTCAAGGATACGGTCCATCAAGCACAAGAAAACATATCTGAATCCAACGACTATGGCTTCAACCCTGATGAGGTCGACTACAACGAAGGCGATGATGAAGAAATGGACCAGGAGGAGGAAACTCAACAGGAAGACGACGAAATCGTTGAAGAAGAAGACGACGATGAGATGGACGTCGAACCTGAAAATGAACCTTCATCCAAACTACCAGCATGGACCAAGAATCTTGAGAGCGGAAGCAAGGGTATGCCAGGAGACGGACTTGTCAACAATGATGTCTCCGAGGCCGCGGCTCACTTGTACGACAACGCCGTGATGTCAAAGATCATCGCAATGTTCAGACTCTACTACAAACAGAGAGTCACTCTGACCCCAGAGGAATACTATGCGATGATGACGGAAACCAAGCGAGTCCGGCTGGACCTGGACGACTTCTGCCCTTATACAGGCGAAGACCAGGATGGCAACCTCAAGCGACCGACGGAGCTGGAATTGGACGAACTCTTTCAGGAGAAAGGGAAGAAGAACTCATGGTCAGAGGGAGAGAAGATGTACTCTGGGCGGCCGAGAAACATGATGATGCCTGTCGTCAAAACCCTAGAGGTCTATGAAAAGATGATGGAGTTTCTCGTATGTGCTGGGTACACTCCCGAGTCCTTAGGTTTCCTCATGCCAATGAATAAGATGCAGGGTGATGCAAAGGAGAAACAAGGAATGAGAGTGACCATCAGCAACTTTCTCCGACGACTTCTGAAAGGAACCTTTCCAGAACATGAATCATATACCTTCTTTCGTTCCGGGAGCCACGGCTTCCCCAACTGCATTGAACTCCCAGCTTTCTCGGTATATCTGAGTCTGAGAGAAAAGGAACAAAGGGTGGAACTACTCTTTGCTGCACAACAATGCGGAATTCCGTTACCTCAAAACTTTGTCAGCAAGATGGCTTATGCTATTCAACTGGCTGAAGCCGAGGCGCAGAGGGGAAAGTCCGAGATGAAAATGAAGATGGCTCCAACCCTTGGCGACGAAGTGGTAAGTGAGGTATTCAAAGCAGTCGGAGGTAGTGCCGCTGCCAAGTTTGCCACCGCAGACGCAAAAGCCAAATCATCAGCACAGCCTTCACAGAAACCTGAAGGCACTGGTTCAGCGTCATCCTCATCGGCCAGTGTACCAAAGGCTAAGGCTATGCCGAGGTCCTATGAACCATCCAAAGCACCACCTGCGAAGCCTTCATCGCCGAAAGCTGCTCCGAAACGTGCGGCAGGATGGGAGAAATCCCCAACAACACCTCAATGGAAGAAAGTCCGCCGTGAGCAGTAAACCAACTACCTCTGTTCATCCAAATGATCACTGGACTATAAGATGTGTATCGTCTTTGTGAACAGATGATCAGGAAAAGACCAACTGAGTGGACTCTGAGCGAGGCAGTAGATTAATTCGCTTAGGTCCGAGATTTTCAATATTCCCAATCTGCACGAAGTTCTGCACAGTGCACGTGAATTCGTTAGTTAGCATTGTAAATCTTTGGTAGCGAAGCGGTCCATTTCTCCCGTCGGGTGAGTGGCATGCCTAGCCAACGTAGAAAAGTAGATGTTAGCTAGCAATAATTCACGATGTACAGCTTGAAGATGCGCCAATGCATCGACAGCCATAGAGTAGGCGAACCCGGAACCACTATTCCCGTCGGGTATGTGGGAAAGGGGGAGCCGAATGGCACGTTTTATGTACATATAGGCGTAATTCAAGTAGCAGAACCATTTTAATTCAAAGTTCCCTCTCTCGTGTCCGTGGTCCGAAGGTACCACGGGCATGGGGGGTGTTAAAGGGAACAAAGCGCTAGCACATGAATCAATGTACATTGATATGCCCTTGTGGCTCAAGCGCCCATTGAAAGGAAAACGGCCGCGCGTTGCTTGTGATGCCTTGGTAGAGTTCGGCAACCCCCAGCACTTTAGGTACTACCAGTCAACGATATCCAGAACAAGGATAGAATTGTTCACACATACATATACATACATATACATACATATACATACATACACATACATCTACATACATACATACATACATACATACATAAATGCATACATACAATATACATGTATAATAATTTATACTTCTGTATATAACATACATTTTTACATACATGCATGCATGTTTCACACATTCTTAATTGATTTCTCCTCAGCCGACTACCTCTCTACTTTTGCTCATATTTTTTCACAATTTAAAGGATATGCGCAGACTTCTGCAGTCTGCACGGTTAAAATAAATACATGCATGCATGAATGTATACATACTACGTACGTACGTACATATACATATACATATGCATATACATATACATACACATACACATACACATACATATGCACATACATACACATACACATACATACACATATATACACATACGTACACATACATACACATACATACACATACATACACATACAGCCACATACACATACAGACACACACACACACATATATGTATATATATATACATATACATATATATATACATATATATATATATACATATATATTTATATATACATATATATATAACTATGTATCACGCACACACACACACATATATATATATACAAGGAATATATATATATATATGTATATATATATATGTATATGCATACCGTGTATAATCAAACAACACATGAAAAAACACATAAGAACAAAGGCAGATACAGACAGGAAAACGATACATACTTTGCATTTGGTCATCTGAACTGCATTGGCATTTCATTTTCATTACGACAATGACGCGGGCGAAACAAGGTAACGCCCGCTCTCAGGACTTGGTGATTTGTAACACCCTTCAGCCATGAGCAATAAACGCACTCGCAGGGTTGCAAAGCTCGCTTTTGCTCACTCGCTTTTGTCGTGCCATGGGAAACAATCTATTCAACAGCCTGCACTTGACGTAGCCAGTTTGACAAATCTTGGTGTGACGCTTCTTGCATGGTGCCCTTTTGTGCCTGCGGCATGAAGAAAATTCCAGCCAACTTTAGCATGTCTCACCTCTGAATCATCCCATGCGTAGCATGTCAAACAACAACTGAGGCTCAAACCAGTTGGGACTCTTTGAATACCTGGCAGCGCGTTTGCCTTCATGTGGCGGCTTGGCTGTAACACTGTAAGGCTTTTACACCGTAAGGGCTTTCATACGTTGTCACATAGTCGGGCTGCCGCGGTGCCCATTGGAGACATCTCTGTGGGCTGATCCATGACATTATATGATGTACTTGCATAATAATAATGTGCATATGCTTGGTGTATCTTGGCATTGGAAGACTGCTGAATGTCATGGACAGAATAGACAGGCTCGATTTCCGATGGCTCTGATTGTGTTGTACTTCCGTACACTGGAGTTGATACTTGGCATGCACCCGGAGAAGCAACTTTGGGAGAGACCGTCGCAATTCAACAATCACGTGGAGACGTGGAACCCGTCATAGCCTATCAGACTTGAATGGGAATTGCAAGTATTTCTATATATTTGTCATGTTGTTCTCTTGTTGAATCTTTTTTCTATATTTTACTGCTGTATGAGTTTTGGCCTTGAGGATTGGCTGCATTTGGTTGCCCCCTGGCCAGATTTGAGTTTGGCGAAGGTGCTTCTTGCTTCAGGTTGCAGTAGGCAATGATTGAGCGAAGTGTACATGTATGGATCTGCTGGTTGGGATACTGAAAGTCCAGCATGTCCTGGTTAAGCGTGGAAATAGTGACATGTGCATCATCATGGCAGAGGCAGAATAGTGGTACATTCCAACAGAAAACCGAAAGACAATTCGGCAAACATGAAGCTTCAATTTTAGAAGTTGTGAGGCGCATGCACGAACCCAGCTTGAAATGCAACATGTTCAGATTTTCGCACTCCCGCAATACTGTCAAAGAGTGCTAGGGCTGCAAAATCCCTTTGAAGAAGTCATTGGATTTGTAATTCGGGCGGTATGAAGTGGCAAGGAACTGGTCCATGTGCAGCTATTTGTGGGTATCTTGACAGCAAATGGAGGTAGACGCTGCCTGTGTGACTGCATTGTTTTCTCACCTTGAAGCTGAGTTTGGGCAGCACGTACGTGCCTGCCCATGTCCAGTTGCTCCAGCAAAACCCGTCTCGGCATCAGTTTTGCTAGACGGATGGATTGAAGGCATGATGCTCTACTTCGTGCTCATGTTTGGAGTGGTGCGCGGAAGTGTGCCTTTGCAACAATTCCGACAACAGACAGTCACGTGCATCTGCTTCTGTTGAAGTGGTGGTGTGCTGTGAAGACGCCGAAGACGACGAAGAAGAGAAAGAAGATGAAGAAGAGGAAGAAGAGGAAGAAGATGAAGAAGAGGAAGAAGAGGAAGAAGAGAAGGAAGAGGAAGAAGAGGAAGAAGAGGAAGAAGAGGAAGGAACGAAGGTGACGATGACGATGAGGATGAGGCATGATGAGGATGAGGATGATGATGATGGATGATGGATGATTGATCATTGATGATCGACGCCGCGGACGCCGACGCCGACGCCGACGCCGATGCCGACGCCGACGCCGACGCCGATGCCGACGCCGACGCCGCCGCCGTTGACGGCGACGGCGACGGCGACGGCGATGGCGAGGAGGATGATGGTGGTGATGATGATGATGGTGGTGGTGGTGATGATGATGGTGGTGGTGGTGGTAGTGATGAGGATGAGGATGAAGATGATAACTTTCCAAACCCATGCCTGTCCAGCAGCATCTCCTATGGTCCTATAGCATGCAGTCATCTTCTACTAAATTACTAAAACTACCTGCACGCAGTTTGGCACATCTTAGCGGAAACACCCATGGAAATGGAGCGTATGATGCTTTGGCTGCCTAGGTTTTCCGATTGCGGCGGATTGCCACCGGCCGCTTGTGACTTGTCCTGCTGGATTGGTTCTTCGGATGGCAGCACTGCAAGAGCCACATTTTGTTTATTGATGTTTATTGCATCTTGTTACTAGAATTACTGTAATTGCAATATTCATCCTAATACTTGGCCACCGTCTTCAAATATCATTCGGCAACGCAGCCTGAGGAGCCGGAGCTTCTCAGCAACACTGCGCCACGCAAACAAGGACAAGGACTTACAGGATTACGTGTTTTGGCAGCAAAACAAAGATGCAAAGAAGTGAGTTTTTTGGTACTCAAGGCCTGCTCGGCGGATAGGATTCATGCAACGCACCTATTCATTGTATTGATGAAGCGTGGAATGAAGCTGCGAACGACAAAATGGTCTTGACACTTACCATGTCTAACCAGTCAACTCAGCATGCCCTTCTATGAATTCTCGGGCTCAACTGGACCTGCCCAGGTGTGCTTGAGAGAATATCTCGTGGTCAAAGTGCTGGAATGGAAGCAAACCAGCAGGGGTCTCTAGCTTTTGCTTCCCAGCGGTCCATGCAGAAGCGGAGATGCCTAGTTAGAACACAGGTTGATAGATGTTGATAGTTGATGAACACTTTCCAAGACCTTCCACGTTTTTGGTCAGATTCGGATGTCTTTTTGCATGTTGCTTGTGGATGAAGTTTCAAACATAGAGGCAGACAAATGCTCTGCAGAGCCAGTATGCCCCAAGATTCTGACTCAGATTGGGATTTGGGTCAAAGCTGGCCAAGGACCGACACTCTTCAGACAGGTGACAGATACTCTTGGAATGGTGAATCTTCCAGATGACGAGGACTGGCAGAAGTGAAGGGGGGCCGATTGCAGTGAACCAGTGACCGCTTTGAAAAGAGATTCTAAGCTATTCTACATCCAGATGACAATGCGCTTGCGAAACCACGGCTTGTTCTGTGCAATGGAGAAGGGTTTTCCCATTTCGCTTCGGGCCATGCAATCTCGTCCTTCCAGCAGGTCCAAAAACGTTATACAAAGCCACCAACAAAACCACATAGGGACCGTGAGTTGTAAGCTTTTAGAGCAGGACAGTCCAGCAGCTGACGCGCTGGTGGAGGATATGGTCAGGTCTCAACTTGAGCAGAACTTTGCCTTCAGCTCTTATCTCGCCCACAGCTTAACAAAGCGAATCAGCAGAAAGTCATGAACGCACCAAGTTCGACAAACCCACCAAGTTTCGAGCTTGTCCCTTGCCTGAGGCGCTGAATGTTGAGAGTGCAGTGAGGGATTCGATCGAATTGCATGCAGGTGTGGCCCGTGTACTTTGGGCAGTCCAACAAACAAATTGCCACGTACTTCAAATGCAAAGTCGGCCATGTCATTGTCTTTTTTGGAAGAGTTGCGGGTTCCAAGCTGAGCTGCGGCCCTAAGAACAAAGACCGTCTCAGAAGCTACTAAGGATTCAGAAACTGCGTCTCAGAAACGAGAAATATAAGATTCAGAAACTAAGGTTTCACGATTCAGAAACTACATCTTAGAAACTAGGAATGCACGATTCAGAAACTAGGGATACACGAGTCAGAAACTACGAAATTAGGATTCAGAAACTGCGTCTCAGAAACTAGAAAATCGGGATTTAGAAACTACGATTATACGATTCAGAAACTAAGAATTCAGGATTCAGAAACTGTGTCTCAGAAACTGCACATTCAGGATTCAGAGACTAGGATTGCACAATTCAGAGACCGCAGAATGCAAGATTTATATAGAAACTGAAGCCCTTTTTTCAAAATCCCTCCCCACAAAGCCCTACATGCAATAGTCTAGTATTTATCGTCTTCACAGCCTGACCTATCCAAGGGTCCCTGTCACGATTCCAAGTCTTTTTTAACACCGCCCACCCTCAAAGCCCTACATGCAAAAGCACTCCTCAACTTCACAGCCTCACCTTTCCAAGAGTTCCGAATCAGAGCTCGTCCCAGTTTCCGAATCATGTTTTCTAGTTTCCGAATCGGCGCGTGACCAAGCCTGAAATCGTCGCACCTGTCAAGAGACATACAAACATATCAATTATATTCAATATTATTCAATTATATCATACATATCACACATAGATGTATGATGTATAATATAAAAATGTATATTACTCTCATTTTGATCTTTTTGCTGTGGTCCTCATAAAGATGAACCGTCAATGAACAAGTCGCAAAGGAGTGATCGAGTTGTCGCCCCAACTCCGTTCGGGTTGCACTGAGCGGACCAGGTACATGGATTACGATCATTATCCTTTTTACAGTGCCTCAATGGCAGTGAGTTTCACTTGTTACATCTTGTTACCACTTGTTGTCATGAGGGGCTTGGAGAATTGAAGTGCAAAGGCATTGGCTCTTGGGTGCCGCTTTGCCAACATTACGATTTTGGGGACCTTGCCCGTCGTGGTCAGCCTTGCCATTCTCGTAGTGTGCCTCGGTCGTGGTACATTCAGCACCAAGGAGTGCTGGGTATTTAGTGCTTTGCTCGCGGTATCTCGCGGTAAACCTTTCGTCGAATTTTTATCGTCGCTGTTTTGTTCCCAGTGTTTAACCACTTTTGGAAGCTGAGTCCTGTGCTGGGTGCGAAGTGCTTGGCAACCCAATTCCATCTAATTCCCTCAGACGAAGGATCATGTCGAATAACTGCACATCATTGAACATCCATGACACGCAGTGTAAGGTTGACTATCGTAATAGTGACGAGGCCAGGCTGCAGACATTTCATGCGGGCGTTGCTGTTGGTTCGGTTCCAGGCATATTCACCCTGGTGCGCACGGTTCGGGCAGATAGCCATGATAGCCAGCAAAACTGTCTATTCCACCCCTTCTGCAGGTTTCTGTCCAGCTCTGATGATCCACATGACACGCAGGGTCAAACATTTGCCCTGCGAGGTTTAGACACCGAAGTTTAGCAAAGGTGAGTCGAACATGGATGGATGCTGCGATGCAGTCCGTAAGCATCCACCGAAGCTTGGCAATGCTCCTGGGATCTACCACGTCCCTTTTGCCAAATACATCTCTGGTGCTTTGGTTTTTCTCTCTTGTTGCGGGGTTGGTGTTTGGTTCATGTTGAGTTCTTGTTTGGAGCTTAGGAGGGCTGAGATTGAGAAGTGGAAACCAGTTTGTTTCCACAGAAATGGGCGGAGATGGGTGGAGCTAACACATTTGGGGATGATGTGCTGCAAGCGGGCAGAGAAGGTGGAGCTGCAAATATACATGAATAATCATGAATACATACGATATACAGCGAAGACGGCAAAGTAAGACACAGGTTTCGTATGCATTCCTGGCATTTGGGGCCTTTTGAGTTCTGCTGGGTGTTCTCTGATGTCAGCGCACCAGCCTTTTGCAGCGTTTCTATGCGTGTTTGCTGTAATTTTGCTGTATGCGAGACTGTCGCGGTTCCTGCAATTTGGCAAAGCTTGTTGTTTAGTTGCGAATCTTTTCTAGATGCTGCTGGCATCTTTGAACAGCACTTGCCGGGTCGTGGGAAGCCTTAGGAGTTTCGAGACAACAACCGGCCTCGGTTCCTGGGTTTGACTTAACTTAGCATGTGCAAGACAAATCTGGATAAAAAATAACTGGATCAGAGAGAATCAGACTCAGAGTATGGGGACTTCGTGAAACCATGGTTGAAGCATGTTGAAACCTTGGTAACTAGTACAACATGTAAAACGCTGAAACATCTGACGCGGAAGCCGGTGAACAATATGAACATGCTATCGCAAGGGTTGAAACGATGGTCTCAGGCACCGGAGAGCACTTGGATGGCCACTTGCCAGGGCAGGGGCTATTTGTCCTGGGAGAAGTTCTTGATGCGATTTCTGCAGATTTTTTTGCTTCATAGCTGCAAGAAGTGCTGCAAGAAGTGCAAGAGGTGTCAGCATAAAGTTGCTCTTCTATACTCTTTTCGGTTTTAGTTTTGAAGCTATTCAGCAGCCTAATCACTCAAAAATGTCATGCCGAGTGTCCAATGAACATGAGCTCCGCTTGAACCAAGACAACATGAGCCGACGCATGACGCTGGCTTGAAATCCTCCAGCCCACATTGCTTTGCGCTTCGTGCAGGTTTGTAATTTCGTATACATTTTCGAGGACTCTCATTGAATTCAAAGATTGGCAAGAGAAACTTGGCGAACAAGTACCAAGAAGACATCAAAAACAAGCACAGATTTGTTTGTGTAGGTACTATGTTGGATTCTGCATGCCATGTTGGAATATGCTTACCAGAGCATGCTGAGCTGCCTGCAAATTCTGCAGTTTTTGCCTTGAGAACACAGGAACTTTGAGTGGCAAGCACCGCTAGCTTCTTCTCTCGCAATTCTTTTTTTGCTGCTTCTGTGACTTGAAGGCAAGTGATCGACATGATCGACATGGGGCTAACATTTTTCGATATCTTTCATTTTTCATTTGGGCCTCCTATTTGTGACAAATCCGCTGGAGGGAGAGAGAGACAGAGAGAGAGAGAGACGTGCTGATTGCGGACGATGTCTTGCAAGTGCAGATACTGCTCCATTGCTCAAGATTTGCCAAGGTTTGTTCTTCCTGCCTATGTGCCAGTCTTCTTGGAACTGATGGCGTTGCCGCCCTTTCTTGACAAGGCCCGGGCGCGAACTATGTGGAAGGGATACGCAGAAATACCAGAGACGATCAAAGGAAGTTCAGAAGACAAGTTACGGACTTTCATCAACCACAAGCATATAGTCATTAAAACAAGACAACAATCACAACAACACAACGATCACAACAACACAACAACAATAGCGATACAATTTGTTGTTGCACAGTCTGTACATACATATTGTATTTTTCACCTCATCTACACTGTGGTCATGGATCAAGAAACATTGCTGCGCAGGTGTACTTATTGTTGGCCCTTAGTGGTTGTTTACTTGTTTCTACAGGTTATCAGCCGTATCGCCAAGCGATCGCTGGTTTCCTTTGTCTCACTTTTTCGCTTACTCCTCCCCGTACTTGCGATGGCAACTCCCCCAGCGTTACCTGCCCCGGGCAGGAACGCCACGGCTGCCCTTGCTGTCGCAGGTACTACGCGGCCGGAGGAAATGGTGATCCATTCTGGAGCAGCTACAACTGAAGGTGACATGAGCTACTCGGATGAGGACTTTGACCCATGCCGAACTGACCCACGCTGAAATATGCCAGGTCAGGTGTCTTGGATGCTAACATCGAAACCAGCCAGTTGAACACAATCAACTTCAACAATGTTGATCAGCGTACCGCCAGTGTGGCAGTGGTGCATCAAGGAGTTGATGCGGCAGGTCAATTGATGGCTGCACAGCAGCAAGCTTTGCAGACTGAAGCCAATGCGCTTCATTCTGTGGTCATGGAACGTCAAAGGGAAACGCTTGTGAGCGAAGCTCGAGATCGTCTTACAAGCATTGAGCAAAGAGCAGCCGATGAGATTTCTCAGAAGAACCTTTTGTTGAACGACCTGTCCTGGTCTCCATCATCGTCTTCATCGCCTACCACGGATTCTGAGAGTTCCTTTGCACGTAAGGTTAGGAAAGCTTTGGAGCATTCCAGGTGATCTGATACTAAGGCCAAAGAGTCTGATCGGGTGCTAGTACCCAAGTTTCCCCAGCCTGAAAATTACAGGAACTGGAGGATCAGAGTAAGGGATGCCGTAATTGCTGCTTCTGCTAAGCCTGATTTCGCTTTTCAGTGGATTGAGGAAGTTTTCAAGACGGACCAGTCCGTTGAAGCCTTGAAGGACTCAGGTAAGTTTGTGACTCTGGACGCAAAGCTCATGTCTTCGCTCACCAACATCTGCGAAGGGGACTTTGCACGGCAACTTGACATCTTTAAAGAAGAACAGGCCAAGTCCGGAACACCAGCCCGAGGACGTCAAGCATTGCTCATGATTCACAAGCATTTCAGTACGAGTAGAAAACATGGTGCAGTGTATGACGTGGAAGATTTAATGGCTGTTACCTTAGTCATCGACGATCTAAGGGGTTTCATCACTAGGTGGGACGCCGTGATCGCTGGAATGACTTCCGAGCCTGACACCATGTGGTAGCAAGCATACTTCCACAATGCCATCAAGAACTTCAAGCCCCTTTCTCATGATCTGGCCGTGTATGATCGCACACCGGAGGGGAACCCAACCGCTCTTATGAGTTTCTCATGAAAGCAGCAAGGGATTACCTCGAGAGAAAGCGTCTTGAAAAGATGCGCCAGGCCACGAAGAAGTCAGTTTCAGGTAAGAGAGATGCCGCGCCAGCCCCCAACAGACCACCATCTGCGGGGAAACCTCAAGGCATTTGCTATGATTTCCAAGTAGGCAAGTGTACGAGAGGAAAGGATTGCCGATATAAACATGAGAAGTCAGACAAAGGCAAAGGTGGAGGTAAGAAAGGTAAGTCTAGATCTAAGTCAAGAGGCACTAGTCGTTCGTTGTCTCCAGGATCTAGGGATCAAGTTTGCAAATTTTGGAAGGCGGGGAAGTGCCACCGTGGTAGTGAGTGTACTTTTCAGCATCAGCCGAAACCTGCAGCTCCATCCGCAAAGGATGACAAGCGCGGGAAGAGCCAGAACAAGAAGAAGAAGAAGAAGAAGAAGAAGAAGAAGACGAGGAAGAAGAAGAAGAAGAAGAAGAAGAAGACGAAGAAGAAGAAGAAGAAGAAGGGCGACCGCTCTAGGTCGTCAAGCCGAGGTTCGAATTCCTCGAAGGGCTCTCAGAGTCTCAAGGACAAAGGGGGAAAACCATCTTCCTCTGGCTCAGCTGCAGTTTGCATGTTGCGCGCCCTGATGGTGGTCGCAGTCGTTCATCCTTCGGCCAGCACTCATCGCGTGCCGGAAGGCATTGCCTCCGCTCAGTTTTACAACCAGCATTTTGCCATGCCAGTTACACCCAATCGGACTGACTGTTTCATTCGGGGACAACATTGAAACCTTTGAAGTTCCCATTGAGCATGACTGTAATTGGAATCCATGCCATGCCAAGCAGAGGACGCACAATCCAGTTTGCATCACAAAGGACGATCGTTATCGTAAAGAGACGATCGAAGCTCGTGAGAGTGATGCTATACTTGCTGCACAAGTGTTGCAATCAGCTGTCTTCAGGGAGTTGCATGGAAAACCTTGCAAATGCAACTTCGCATGCGACAGTGATATCGGCTGTCGTCACTGCATCCGTTCCGAGCTGAAAGCCCTGCCAGGACACATGCCGTCCCAGCAGCGTAATGCATCCGCTGAGATCGCCTGGATCGCAGATACTGGTAGTGCTCAGGACTTGGTTTGCAGGAAAATGATTCCCGAAGACGTAGTGTATCATTCTCATGAACCCCTTGAATTAATCACAGCCAATGGATCTCAGTCAGCTGACCAACAAGCATCCGTTCACATCGATTGAATCGACAAAGAAGTTCATCCTTATGTTCTTCCTGATGCTCCCGCAGTCATTTCTGTAGGAATGAGGATGGGACTTTGTTTGGAAAAGCTTTAGCCGTCCCTTATTTCAAGAAGAAAGATGGAACTAAAATAAAACTAGAGGTAAAAGATTACGTTCCTTACTTACCATCCAGAGATGGCCAGGTGCCCGCAGCAGTAGGGATTCCATTTTCGTGGGACTCCGGTGCCGGGAACGGCAAGCCCATCATCTCGCCAGTTCGAGGGTCTCGTGTGTCAGCAGTTGGAACTGAATCTGAGGACGAGGTCGAAGAGGTGGAAGAGCCTTACGAGGCGTCCATCGCTGACGATGAGGAGGTTCTTGGACATGCTGACGACAGTCTCGAGGAGTTCTTCATTGGTGAGCTCGCACCAGGACCTCCGGCAGCAATGACGCCAGACATCGCTGAGGGTTCGGAAGACGAGGTCAAAGCTCCTGAAGAACCAGTTGACGGTTGACTTCTTTTGCCTGAACCTAAATCTCTTGATCGTTGTGAAGCTGCTTTGAGGGACAAGACCAGGACTCTTAGGCACATGATGACACACACCCCAAAGAACCCGTACTGCGAAACTTGCAAATGTGCTAAAATGTACAAACCAACTAAACGTAGTAAGGGTGAGTTTTTGACTGTGGAATCCAACAAGTTTGGGGATCACATCACTGGGGACCATCTTGTGACTAGAGATTCAAATGAACAACCAATTGATGGTGACAGGGTTGCCATGGTCATGAAAGATGTTGCTACCAACTTTCGATGGATTTATCCTTCAGCTAGGAGTCATGCCAAAGACTGTGTTTTAGCATTTAGACACTTTGTTGCACCCGGTGAAGAAGTTGGAGTGTACTACTCTGACGCAGCACCATCCATCAAACTCGCTTGTCGGGAAGTTGGATGGAGACAAAGCACGAGTGTAGCTTATGTTTCTAAGTCTAATGCAGTCGCCGAGAGGAATCTCAGGTCCGTACTCGAAGGGACTAGAGTGAATCTTGAACAGGCGGGACTTCATCACTCCTATTGGAGCTATGCTTCACGGCATTGGTGTATGGCTCACAACATCCAGGATCACCCCGAAATCAAATCCCCCCTGGGAACCTCGTTTTGGGGAAAAGTTTAGAGAGCGTAACGCTGTGGGCCCCTGATTTTTATGGTGTTTTTTGAGGTTTTTATTGTTAGATAACATATGTATGCAACAAGTTTAGGGGACCCGACATTCCTTTTGGGGCTCGTATTGATTACTGGACTAGACTTAAATTGAAACCCAAGAAGGACTTACGTTTTGATCCAACTTCGAATCCAGGTATCTTTCTGGGGTATGCCATGCAACCGGGCTTCATGTGGAGGAACGAATATCTTGTTGCTTCGTTGAATGATCTCATGGAGAAAGATTTCAATGAATCGGTTCAGGTTGCCCGTGTCAAACAACTTACTGTACCTGATGGACCATTTGTTTTTCCTTTGAAAGGTAGATATAAGGCCATTAGGGAAGGTTTGTATGAAAGCCTCAGCCTTGATGCACCTCCAGACCCAAAGAAGATGGATGCTCAAACTATCGAAGACTTGGTTTCTTCGAAGAAAGCCATCGCTCAAGGATCTGTGGAAGGTGAAGAGGAGTTCGAGGAGTTGATGCGGGAAGCGGGACTTAACACAGATGACATTGAGGTTCTTAACCCCATCACTGGTAGTACCGAATAAATTTCAAAGGATGATCCTTCTTACTACGACTCTAGTGGTTTTAAGGGAAGACGTTACAAAGGATCCTCCAAACCAAAGGACATTCCAACATTTCTTTGGCGGGGGGCCTCTAAAGCGGCCAGAGAGCGTGCCAAACGTGAAGCCTTGTTGAAAGAAGCAGCGGAAAAGCATGACGCAGCCGTTGCCAAAGAACGTAAGTATAACAGGGTTATTGATCGTTTTGCAGTATCAGCTGTACCAGAATCCAAAGATGATGGTCAAACTTCCGATGATTTCATTCCCGTAATGCCAGTCACCTCCAATGTGGGGGGCTCGCGTGGTGGAAACCATTGCCATAGAGACAAACTCCAGGGTCAGTCAGAGCTTATGCGCTTTCACTTTTCCAACGCTCTTGTGGCAATGCCAAAATAAGAAGAACAACCGGATCTTTGTACACTCCAATCCATTCCTTTGGCCATCGATTTCGTTGTCGTCTAACCCACGTTAGAATACCTTGCATCAATGCTTGGGTGTATGCTTGCTTTCCATCGCCCTGCGATGTCCGGTTCCCCGGCATGGAGCCATAAGCATCCAATGCTTTTCCTGCCTCCATGTTGGCCGGTGAACTTACGAGCTCCGCGAACAAGGCAACATCCGCCGCCTCGTCCTTGACGTTGTTTCCCTGAAACACGGTGCGGCCCTTAAACTTGGAGACTCTCTAAACTTGCGCATGGGGTCACCCAGGGGAGCTCACTTCCCTTTTCAACACAAATCTCGAAGATCTTACCAACATGAACTTTGGTTTTGTTCTTGATGGCTTCCCTCGAAACATCCTCCCATGTCCTAACGGTAGAATAGTCCCATGCACCCTTACTTGTAAGATTGTTCCATTCTTTGTCGAGTGCAGCTTGGGCAGCTGGAGTGTTGTTGATCTCCTTCTGTCCAACAGGCCTTGTACGGTCACCCCGATTGGGGGGGTCTACAGTCGGGTTTCATCCACTATATCCTGAATGTTGGCCGTCTATATGTTTTGGCATCCAAAGTTGAAGTTGTTACTCGGTGTTTATGTTGACGATTTCAAGATGTCAGGGCCTTCAAGCAACATCGATGAAGGGTGGAAACTTATTTCTTCTCAGATCGACATGGATACTCCCGAAGATGCAGGAATTAGGTTGTGAACATGTTTTCACACAGAATGTCAAATTGGATGTTAGTGCTCACCCTTTTGCCCATGTCTTTGATGCAAGCATCCCGGATCCTTCTAGTAAGCCAGCCAGTCCTGCCCGCCGAACGAGGGACTACTGGGAGCACATGCCGGAGCTTGGAGTTTGCGTTCATCACCACCTGCAGCCTCGCAAGAAGTTCCAGGACAAGCCGAAGGACAACCTGTCTTTCCGGGCGGGAACGCGCCGGCTTACCGTGTGTGAACCCTGTCGAACGAAAGATGAACCAAAGGTCTTTGTTCATGATATGGAATCTCAAAACCCAACTGGACTTCCATTTTGGTGGACGGGATCAACCTACTTTGTGGACAAGTCAATTCAAGATCCCTCAAAAGCTCTAGCAGCGGCCAAGAAAATAAGAGACAAATCAGGGGCAAAGAAAGCAGCAAGAGCACAAGGATTCACTTTTCTTGACGAACTTGAGCGGCAAAAATCAAAGTGCACGACAAAGAGTGTCAATACGGTCGAATACGACATGAGACAATTCTTCCAACAATGTATTGATCGCTGTCTTGAACTAGCAGGACCAAATGTTAAGTTCAAGAAAGTTACAACACCTTTCCCAGACGACAAGATCGCTCGTCCGATCATGGGCGAAGCAGAAGCTCGGAGGAAACTCCAGCCTATCGCATCACGTGTGTTGATGAAAGTGTTGTTCGCAGATGTTCGCAGCACGTATGGCTAGGTTTGACCTTCTCCGTGCTACTCAGGGATTAGCAAGTAGGGTTACTAGATGGTCACCTCCTGATTGCGACAAGAGCCTCCATCGTTTGATGTGTTACATCCGTTCAACCCTTGATCGTGCAATGGTTGGTTTTGTCGGAGACCCACCTGAGACTTGCAAAACATGGTTATTTGCTGATTCCGATCACGCTGGGGAACATGACAGCCGTTCAATGTTCAACAAGCGGATGCCTCCTTGCACTAATAGGACCCAACTCGTTTTATCCACTCACAGCTTTTTCAAAGAAGCAGGCTTCAACAGCTATGTCTTTGACAGAGGCGGAAGTCACTGCGGCGAACCTTGAATGCATCCGACCGAATTGATGTTCACTGCATCCGTTGACTGTCGTACTTGATGTCGGGTCAATTGAAATGCATTGTCATGTTTTGCTCTTTCGCTCATTGCGACCACACTGAGGTGAGTACGGACGAAAAGACTCTTCGAAGGAAGGCTGTGTCTTTGGGTTTGGTTTGGGTTGTTGTTGTTGTTGTTGTTGTTTCCTAATTGGGTTATATAACTTAATGGCATCCCTTACTAGACTGTACATAGCCAGGGTTTGCAGCTTCACCCCATGTATAGTGTTTCACTGCACGGGGGGTGTTGTTGCACAGTCTGTACATACATATTGTATTTTTCACCTCATTTACACTGTGGTCATGGCTCAAGAAACATTGCTGCGCAGGTGTACTTATTGTTGGCCCTTAGTGGTTGTTTACTTGTTTCTACACACTTCTCACAACAATGCAACTATCAATACGATTATCAGAACACTGCAACTATCGCAACGACTCAAGAGCAGCAGTAGCAGCAGCAGCCGCAGTAGCAGCTTGAGATTTATGATGTCTCATCTCTGGGAATGACTGTTGCAAGCCTTTCTCAGGACAACTTGTCTATCTTCTTTGCAGTCATCGACGAAGGTTTTGCAACCAGCTGCTTGGCCAAGCTGGGGCCACAACGTTTAATGCCATAATGTTCATACGAAGGTCCACGATGCTTTCCTGTGAAATGGGTTCAGCATGTTTCAGCCAACATTAGCCAACTTGGTCTTGTGCAATGGATGTATCCGATGTATGATTGCTTAGGGAAGTTTTTTCAGCACCTTAGGATTCAAGCACGAAGGCAGCTTAAATGAAAAGAAGCGGCGCAATTCCGCATGCGGTGCCAAAGGCCTCGGTTTTGCTGGGCACGACATGAGCGGTGGCCCATGCCGAAGCCACATCAATGACAGTTGCAAGTTTGGGGATGTACATCTTATAGTTAAATATATAATTGTATATATATATATATATTTATGTATATTATTATTAGTGATTTTTCTACTTATACTTGTCAAAGGAAGTTGGGAAGCAATACTCCTGATGAAGGGTGGTGTGAGACTTTACACTACATAACAGTACATCACAAAAGAATAGACCTTGATGAAGGGTGGTGTGAGACTTTACACTACATAACAATACATCACAAAAGAATAGACCTTGATGATGGGTGGTGTGAGACTTTCCACGACATAACAATACATCACAAAAGAATAGACCTTGATGATGGGTGGTGTGAGACTTTACACTACATAACAATACATCACAAAAGAATCGACCTTGATCTTGATGAAGGGTGGTGTGAGACTTTACACTACATAACAATACATCAGAAAAGGATTGACCTTGATGAAGGGAGGTGCAAAATGCAATGTGGTGGCTGCATGAATGTTGCATGGGGCTTGTGTTGGGGAGGAAGCCGGAGCAGGACACCTTGCATTTTTCCGTGTAAAGTGGCTGCAGGCGGCGATGAAAGGTACCTCGTGTGTGCGGCGGTTGCGGCTGCGGTCGTTTCTGTCGCGAATGTGTTCCTCCTCTGTGTTCTGCAACGAGTGGTTGTTCCTGTGTGCGTAGTTCTTTGCGTTTTTTGAATCTGCGGTTTCAGATCGCAGAAGAATGGCTGCATGAATGCTCAATGGGCTTTGTTTTGGGGAGGAAGCCGGAGCACGAAACATTGTGTTTTTCCGTGTAAAGCGGTTGCAGCCGGCGATGAAAAGTACCTCGTGTGTGCGGCGGTTGCGGCTGCGGTCGTTTCTGTCGCGAATGTGTTCCTCCTCTGTGTTCTGCGCCGAGTGGTTGTTTATGTGTGCGTAGTTCTATGCGTTTTCTCACTCTGCGGTTGCAGATCGCAGTGGAATGGCTGCATGATTGTTGTCATCTGGTGTTGCCATGTGCGTAGAGAGATGCGGGTTAGCCACGTGATGCTGCAAAACGCATTGTAATGGCTGCAAGAATGCTCAATGGGCTTTGTTTTGGGGAGGAAGTCGGAGCACGAAACCTTGCGTTTTTCCGTGTAAAGTGGTTGCAGCCGGCGATGAAAAGTACCTCGTGTGTGCGGCGGTTGCGGCTGCGGTCGTTTCTGTCGCGAATGTGATGTGTTCCTCCTCTGTGTTCTGCGCCGAGTGGTTGTTTATGTGTGCGTAGTTCTATGCGTTTTCTCACTCTGCGGTTGCAGATCGCAGTGGAATGGCTGCATGATTGTTGTCAGTTCTATTGTGTTTTGCAACTCAGTCTGTGCAGATCGCATTGTAGTGGCTGCGTCAAGGTTTCTTGGTGCCGCGGCTGCATGCGTAATACTGTTGTCTTTTGCAGCTGGATCTCGTAAATAGTATTGGAGTGGCTGCATCAAGGTTGCGACAATGATTTGTCAGCAGATTTTCTCAATTTTGGCGCTAGTTTTCCTTTTAAAAGTTCTTTTAAACATTGCTGCAAAATCGTCTTTTTGTCGCTGTGGCGTTGAGATCCGGTTTTGGAGCTTCAATTTCCGACGCCGTTGTGCGTAGTTCTATTGTGTCTTGCAACTCAGTCTGTGCAGATCGCATTGTAATGGCTGCGTCAAGGTTGCTTCGTGCCGCGGCTGCAATCGTAATATTGTCTTTTGCAGCCGGATCCCGTAAATAGTATTGGAGTGGCTGCATCAAGGTTGCGACAAAGATTTGTCAGCAGATTTTCTCAATTTTGGCGCCAGTTTTCCTTTTAAAAAGTTCTTTTAAAAGGTGCTTCAAAATCGTTTTTTTTTTGCTTTGGTGTCGAGATCCGGTTTTAGAGCTTCAATTTCCGATGCCGTTGCGCGTAGTTCTATTGTGTTTTGCAACTCAGTCTGTGCAGATCGCATTGTAACGGCTGCGTCAAGGTTGCTTCGTGCCGCGGCTGCATGCGTAATATTGTCTTTTGCAGCTGGATCATGCTGGATCTCGTAAAAAGTATTTGAGTGGCTGCATCAAGGTTGCGACAATGATTTGTCAGCAGATTTTCTCAATTTTGGCGCTAGTTTTCCTTTTAAAAGTTCTTTGAAAAAGTGCCGCAAAATCGTTTTTTTGTCGCTGTGGCGTCGAGATCTGGTTTTGGAGCTGCACTTCCGGTTGTGATTATGTACAAGAAAGCTGTGTAAAAACTTTTTTTCTGTCAAAGCTTGCTGTGTGTAAAAGATTTTGTGTGTAAAAGCTTCTCTGTGTGTAAAAGCTTCTCTGTTTAAAAAGCTTGCTGTGTGTGTAAACGCTTGCCATGTGTAAAAACACTGTGTGTAAGTGTTCTGTGTGTAAACGCTTGCTGTGTGTGAAAGCTTGCTGTGTGTAAAAGCTTGTTGTGTGTAAAAGCTTCTGTGTGTTAAAGCTTCTGTTTAAATTTTTGCTGTGTGTGTAAACGCTTGCCATGTGTAAAAGCACTGTGTGCAAGTGTTCTGTGTGTAAACGCTTGCTGTGTGTAAACGCTTGCTGTGTGTAAACGCTTGCTGTGTGTAAAAGCTTCTCTGTGTAAAAGCTTGTTGTGTGTAAAAGCTTCTGTGTGTAAAAGCTTCTCTGATAAAAAAGCTTGCTGTGTGTAAAAGCTTCTCTGCGAAAGAACTTGCTGTGTGTAAAAGCTTTCTTTGTGCAAGCTTTGTAGTACAAAGTAGTACTGGGACGTAAGTGTGCAAGCTTTGTAGTACAAAGTAGTACTAGGAAGTGCTTTGTGCAAGCTTCGTCGTACAAAGTAGTACTGGGAAGTACTTTTTGCAAGCTGTGTAGTACAAAGTGGTAATGGGTGCAGACTTTGTGTAGTACAAATTATGGCTGGGAAGTGGTTTGTGCAAGCTTTGTAGTGCAGAGTAGTACTGGGAAGTACTTTTTGCAAGCCTTTTAGTACAAAGTAAGCCCGCCGCCGGTCGCGCTCCGCCCATGGAACCGGCAGTCCTCACCCTCCAGGGGGTCGAGGTCGCTGGTGTCACGGACGGCTCGCGCGTGAGCCTGTCCGTGGCCACCTGGCTTCGGTTGGGCGGGCGGGTTGCCTTCGGCACCTCCCCCCACCTTTGCCCGCGCCGGGCGCCGCGCCCCGAGAGCTCTCCTTTGCCTTCCTCGCTTTCGCCTGTGGAGGAGTTCGAGGAGATTCCGGTGGACCCCGACGGCCTCCTCTTTCCACACCGGCGCGCTACCCGCCGGCGCGCCCTGCGGCACGTCGCCCCCCACCTGCGCCTCGCCCTCCTGAAGCATCTGGCCGTAGGCCCACGCGCCGTAGCCACCGGGCACACCACGCCGTCCGCGCCCGCCAGAGCTTTCTGCCCCGCAGGAACTCCACCCCACCGGCCACTGCCTTCACGGCACCCGGGCCCATCCCGCTCTCCGCCAACCCTTTTGCCCGGATGGGGCCTTCCCCGTTCCGCTGACCCGCCGGTCAGCCAATAGTACTGGGAAATGCTTTGTGCAAGCTTTGTAGTACAAAGAGCACTGGGAAGTACTCTTTGCAAGCTTTGTAGTACAAAGAGCACTGGGAAGTACTCTTTGCAAGCTTTTGTAGTACAAAGTAGTACTGGGAAGTGCTTTGTGCAAACTTTGTTTGTAGTGCAAAGTAGTACTGGGAAGTGCTTTGTGCAAGCTTTGTGGTACAAAGTAGTACTGGAACGTGCTTTGTGCAAGCGTTGTAGTACAAAGTAGTACTGGGAAGTACTTTTTTGCAAGCTTTTGTAGTAGACAGTAGTACTGGGAAGTAGCTTGTGCAAGTTTTGTAGTACAAAGTAGTACTGGGAAATACTTTTTTCAAGCTTTGTAGTACAAAGTAGTACTGGGAAGTACTCTTTGCAAGCTTTTGTAGTAGACAGTAGTACTGGGAAGTAGTTTGTGCAAGCTTTGTAGTACAAAGTAGTACTGGGAACTAATTTGTGCAAGTGTTGTAGTACAAAGTAGTACTGGGAAGTGCTTTGTGCAAGCTTTGTAGTACAAAGAGCACTGGGAAGTACTCTTTGCAAGCTTTTGTGGTAGACAGTAGTACTGGGAAGTGCTTTGTGCAACCTTTGTAGTACAAAGTTTGTGGGAAAGGCTTTTCTGTCTAAACGCGTTTGTGTCTCAATTGTCTGTGCGCAAAAACTTTCTGCGCCCAAAGTTTTTTTTGGCAAGAGACATCTCTCTCTCTCTCTCTGACAGTAAGGGCTTTCTGGCGTGCAGAACAGCTGAGATGAGCTGAGAACAACTTCGAGGAGATGAGAAAGGTTGATCAGCGCTCGGATGAGATGAAAACAGTTGAACTTACTTTGATGACATGTGAGAAGAGATGGGATGAGATGAGAAGAGCTGAGATGAGGTTAGACGAGCTCATATGCTTTGAGATGAGATGAAGTGTGAAGTGTGAAGTGCAAGTGTGAAGTGTGGAGTGTGAAGTGCGAAGAGTGCAGTGTGAAGTGTACGGAAAGTCTTCGCTTGGCGGTGCCTTGCGCCGGGGTTGCGCAGTTCATGTTCTTGGACAACATCTGTGCAGCAGCTTCGCGCAAAGCACGCACCCACGGGCCTGGCTGGCTCACGGCGCATGCAAGTTCTATAGATGAGAAAGGTCTTATCTTACAGTATCCCTAAGGCAACTTCCGCCCCGCCTCGTGCGGGTACTACTGGTAATTGTAATTATATACTTAACATTATTTAACCTTGCTGTTTATTGCAATAAGACGGGGGAACGCTCTGTCATACGGGCAGTGGCCCAGGCATGGTTGCTTCGAGTACACTCGGCTCGATGGGCTCCATGACCTCCATGAACTCCATGGTCAGCTCCCTTCTGGTTCATCGCCCAATGAGGAACAGAGCGAAGCCGGATCCCAGCCTTTTGGCGATTTCGGAAGCTTGATCCAAAGCGCTGCACTGCATCCCAGGTTGAGGCGAGACAGCTCCACATTCAGAGCTCAATTCCGTCCCAGCTTCCACTTGGCTCCTCCAGTGGCTCCACCTAGGAACTGGTCAGCGTTCTGCAGAATTGCGATACGATCGAGGATTTGAGCGGCCTAGCACCATCATAACCGCACCGTTGCCTTGTAGAAAGCTGCTGATATTGGTATATATTGGTATGGCCCGTGGCTTTGTAGATTCTGTAGCCAGCACTGTATGTCTTTGCGTTTGGAGCATTTCGGAATATGATGGAATATGTAGAAGTGAAGGCAATACATTTGGCTTGCGCAGAACCAATTTCCTTGGGAAGAGCTAGCGCCAAGGATCCTTGCGTGAAAATTTGGAGGGTCAACTTCCGGAAGGACTTGAACTGCCTGAATCTCGAGGTCCATCTGGTCTATTAAGTGTGACTCGGCAGCCAATCTCGGATGGACAAATTGCAAAAAGAAGTGAAAACAGTAGCAGCATAGATGGGAGAGAGAAAACTGGTAAACGTCAGGGATTACTGTAGTGCTGGTGAAACCTATTGCAACGCTGTCGGTTGCTGGTTTCAGCCCCAGCTGGAAACTGACCCACAGCTATAGCGCTCATATGATTGTATATGTATATGTATACTGTATATGTATTATATATATATGTGTGTGTGTATGTAAATGTAAATGTAAATGTAATTGTAAATGTGTATGTATATGTATATGTATATGTATATGTATATGTATATGTATATGTATATGTATATGTATATGTATATGTACATGTATATGTATATGTATATGTATATGTATACGCATGCAAATTCATATGTACATGTACATGTATATGTATACGTATACGTATACGTATATGTATATGTATCTGTATATGTATATGTACATGTAGATGTAAAAGTTTGATGTAGATGTAGATGTTTGATGTAGATGTATGTATGTATGTATGTGTATATATATATGTATATCTATATATATATGTACATGTACATGTACATGTAGATGTGTATGTACATGTCCATGCATATGCATATGCATACGTATACGTATATACGTATATTCCAATGCGTATGCAAATGTGTTGCATGTATAGGTAGACGTCATATTTATAGCGCATGTTTTCCTCTTTCAGGTCATGTTTTTTCTTGCATGTGCACAGCTCAGCTCATACACTTGCTCTTCCTTAGATGGTGGTGTGGATGAGTGCATCGCTCCCAGGAATCCTTCTAGCTTCTGCTGCCGTGACTTGGTTCATGGGAGTTTCGGGGTTCCCAAATGTTCATGAGATTCATCTTCACATATCTTCACATCTCAATCCCGAGAACCATGGGACTGGCATGGGCATCACGTACAGGTGCGCGGGGTCGGAGAGTCTAGACTTGATACTCCTGAAGGGACAAACCTAGGCTGTTCCGTTGCGTCCATTGTACAGCAGGCCTTCAATCAATTTTAATCGGCCAATCTTCTGCTGCAACTCGGGCATTCCTCAGGCATTCCTGGCCACATTTTTTAACCAGCCAGCGGCATATTTCTGTACTCTGGTTCTTGCTGTCATGATCGTGCTTGTCATCTTGACAGGGTATTCATATATATATATATATGCATATATACAGGGTATTAATTACATAATTATGTATATACGCACCAACACACACACACACACCAAATGTTTGATTCTTTGGCCAATTCAAACCGACCTGCAACTTTGAAAGCTTGGTGTTGGTGGTGTTTTCTCAGAAAAAATCCTACACACACATGGCAAGGTGACAGGGCGTGACATGTCAATATACTATGCCGAAGCCGTGCAGCATGCAGCAGAATGCTGCAGTGCAGTTTGTCCATTGGGGCCAGCTAGAATCTTGATACAGCGATCTGACTACGAAATGTAAAAAGGTTGACTGAGTTCCTTACAATCAGAATGAGATCGTGCACTTTCACTCATGAAATTTGGATAAATTTCGATGTGCGGCTACAATTTGCTACAATGGCACCATAGTCGGTGTCAACAAAATCAAAGACTCCGGCAAACCACTTTTGCACGCGATTTTACCAAGTTGAATTTCATGTCACTTTTGCCTACCTTCAGTTTGCATTCTGTTTGGTGTCTTTCACCGTTGTGGATGTTATGTCGGAAGGTGCCGTGCAACTCGGACTGTGAAACCTGAACGGAAGGATTGAAATGGAGGTGCAGCGGGGCAAGGAAGTGTGGCAGGTGAGGTAGGTGTGGCAGGATGTTATTCCACTTTTGCGCAACCCGTGCTTCAAATTTCTGAACAAAATGTGACCAGCCTTTTAGCCTTTGCTTGCCGATTCAGTCTAGCAGAGTCTAGCATGTACAGCTAGAAAGCAACTGTAGCTTTTCCCGCGCTAATTAATTTCAGCTCGTGACAAGAGAGGTGCCAGATTTGCAGTCCATGCATTCCATGCATTCCGGCCGGGGATGGCCAGTGTGTCTCCTGGCAGACAGATAGGGACAGGTGATGCCAATGTTCGCTGAGTCCCTTCACCTCGAACAGCACGTCTTTCACACTTGAAGTTGTTCGAAGTTTTGCATAATTTTGTTTTGGTATATTGTGAGTTGTTGTGGTTCTGGTATGTTCTGGCCAAATGCAGCATTTTACGACGTGTTACTTACAGCAGTGTCAGTGATGATGGGCAGCTTCACAGTGCTTGATTTATTTTGTCTCACCCAAGTTCGCCATGGGCAGTGCTCATGAGCCTTGCCAACGCAGCCAGACACCCAGGGGAAACGAGGGAGCAGAGGGAACACCGAGGAAAGAGGAGATGATGGGCTGGAGGGTGCCTTGTAAGACGACTTATGTATTATTAGATACTATTTGATACTTTACTTGAGTAATCTTTTATGATTTATGATTCTGATGTTTTATCATGTCTTGTGTTGACTTATGTTTCTTGTTGTGAATGTGGGACTTCGCAGCGAAGGTCCCACTGACAGCGGAGCAGTGGATCGACCACCACCAGGTGGCGGTGTCGAATTGGTCCTTTCAGTCGTACCGGAGCGGCTAGAAGGGATGAACAGTTGTGACATGTTGTGACATTGCTTTCTTCCAGATACTTCAAGGAGTGGGAATGACAGGGCGTGGCTGACAGTTCCATTTGATAATCCCAGTGCTGCGGTTGTTTGTGATGTATCGGCTTGCCCCAACATTTTCTGAGCAAAATCATGGGCAGGCCACTCACGTGCCAGCCGCGATGCTTCTGGAGGCACAGCAGGTTTGGGTGTTGGAGTCTGCACACGCCACTCATGTCACCTAGAACGCACATCGGACATGCAACAGGACACCACACGTACATCATTTATGAGGCCGTGCGGCAGAGATCATTGCCAGCTCGCCAGAGAGGCAGAAGCTTGAGATGCAGGCAGCTGGGTCATGTTTCATTAGTGTTTCATATATATTGTTTTAATGTATTTCTTAAACTTCTTATCACGAGGTATCACAACGCATTGGCCATGCAAGCAGGGATACGGTTTCTTTTTTGAAGTCGGCTTTCTTGGCGTGGGCAGGGTCACCTGTGGGACTGAAGGTCGATAGGGGTTGTGTCGGGTTTTGCCGTCTTGGGGGTTGCATTCGGCTTGAGGTACAGCTACACCGCTCTGCACAGCAATGCAACGAAGCCTTGGCCATTTCCAGACATTTGGCGGAGGCACCACAGCAGCAGGGTCACCCAGAGCCCTGCAGCACAAGGAATATTCAAAAGGGCACTGACATGAGCAACGGACAAAATTAGCGAAAGACTAAAGTAGTAGGCAGTGGACTTGGGATGTTCAAATTTGAGTGAAAACCCCTCCACAACCGATAGGGGACCACCCACTTACCGATGCCCTATTTTACACATATCATGGAAATACAAACCTTCACGACCGATAGGGGACCACCCACCTTGGCCATGTCCATTGGGAGTAGTAAGTAATTTGTCTGCCACTCATATGAAGGGTTTGTTACATCAAACTATCAAACTTTCAGGATTTCGATTCCTTTGGCGCTCGAACTATCTCTCACAGTCATTGGCACTTGTCTTTATTTTCTCATATTTTCTCACAGTGTTTCAAGAATATTTTAAGACAATTCGTTTCTTCATGCTTCTTCCAAGGTCCCAGGAGCCAGCAACATGGATGGGGCTTGTGCGAAGAGAGCTGGCAGTAGCTTGGTGTATGCCGTCACTGGGGCCGTGGTGGGGTCTACGGGCTTAATTTGAATGCCAATGAATGCCATTTAACTATGCGTCCAAACCAGGCTAATTACTAATGAAATCAATGGGCTTAATACATCTTAGTTCCAGGGGTGGCAGGAACCAGTGGTCTCTTGGGCTTTGAAAAAACGATAAAAAAAACGATCCATACCAAAATGCGCCCCACCCCAAGATAAGGTCATAGTGACGCACATTCCAACAGATCAAGGATGCCGCATGAATGCTGCACGGTATGTAGATAGTTCGAGGATAGTTCGAGGATATTCAAGGATGATCCGCAGAGGAAATCCATGTGCCTCAGTATGCCTTAGTGCCCCCTTATCGTGAGACGCGTTTAAATGTATTGGAGCTATTTGAGTCTCACGAAGAGAAAGTTATTTGTGCATGTTTGGCTCTATGAAGTCTATGACTCTTTGTCTTCTGAGGAGCTGGATGAACGGCTCTCGCGTCAGCTGTTGAGATTGCAGAGCCAGACAGACCGCGTCATGGAGGTTTTTGTCACATCCCTAGTAGCATCCTCAGTGTTTGGATGGCTGTGGTGACCATGGTGCATTAAACGGCGTAAGAATCGTAAGGCGTGGTTGGTACAAGTTCCCCGAAAGCTCTGAAGAGCCGGTACCCAGCAAAGTTCCCGCAGTGCAGGCCACGTTTGTTTTTGACGCTGACCGCAGCCATGTTCTCATTTGTGTGAGGAGGGGAAGGTGGCGCAAGTGATGTCAAAGCAGCGGCTGGGCACAAGTTGGTGATGGAAGGGATTGGAATTTGCATGTTGCCCTTGGTGCAGATCACCTGGACCTCTCAAAGGGGTAAAGTGGATGTAGTCTTGCACAGCATGGCGGCAGATGGTTGCATCACACCTTGGCATCAATTCCACCATTGATGGATTTTGACAGTGTGGCTTCAGGCCTCTCACTGAGTGGCGCCTGGCTGAGCTGGGTGCCAACATCAAGGGCTTGCAGGAGCAGTTGGAAATGCAGGCCAGGCATGGCCAGGCATGGCCAGGCTGCCAGGTATGGCCAGGTCGTGGCTAGGTCATGGCTAGGTCATGGTCATGGCACGGCTGCAGGCGAGACGCGGTGATGCGGCAGATGCGAGGCTGCAGAGGCGAAGCCAATTCCATGCCTTCGTCAATACCGAAAAGGCTATGGCATATGAAGCTATACTGAGTATTACTGCACATAAATAATAATAAAACTAATAAATGGTAATAGATGTATAATATATGCCCCAAGAATTCCTTGATATCATTGTAGGATGGGTCATCCAGTTTTTAAGCAGTTTTGCTCGGCTTGAATCAACGAGCACCATCTTCCAGGTTCACCACCCTTTTTCAGTCAGAGCTTAGAAAGTTGCACATCGAGGCACCAGACCCGTGCAAGTGATGCATGTTGATGTGTTGTTGGATTTGTTGGGGGGTAGCCAGCTGTTGTAGTACACTTTTATGATTTATGACAGTTACATCAGAACTGTGGATCCAGGTGCCAAGTCCGGCCGACAAGCCAAGCCCCACTGGCCTAGACACTTCAGCTGCATAGAAAGCCAAACAGTTTTGGTCTTACGTACTCACGTAGTGCGGGCCTTGAACACCATCCAGTCCTGAAGGCTTTGAAGAGCCGGATAGTTTGTTTTTGTTCCCCTTTGGTTTGGCCCAATGGCAATGGTTTGGGTGTTCTGAGTTTTGGGACACGTGGCCGAGGAAGGCACTGACGCATTGAAGGATGCTATGTTGGCCAGTCTTCGCGAGGATGAAGCAGGTGGGGGCCTAGCTTTCGCTGAAGAGATTTTATTGTGGCATTTGGGTGTATGGGATACTGGTCCAATGTGGTCCAAGATGGCTTTGGTGGTCTCTGGTGTGTGATGTGAGTGAGGACCTTCAGGAAGTTCGGTGTCTTCTGAAACCGAAAAAGGGAACGCTTTTAACTTTCAACCCACAAATCTGGCAGACTTGCACGCATATCAAGAGCAACAAACTGATTGTGGCAACATCAGAGGCCACTGAACTTGACATCAGAGGCCACTGAACTTGAGATCAGATCAGATCAAGATTCATTAGACACAGAACTCAAACCGCCCAAACTCCCAAATCATCCAAATCGCCCAAACCGAACCACATTCTATGTGCTTGGCATGGCATTGCAGGAGCCCAGCCGACCATTTCTTTACAGGTGACCGGAGGGGGATAATGTCGGACATGGTTTCCACCTCCTGGCAGGATAGTTCTCCGATAGTCACATAGACCACGATTGTAATTGGAGGCACGTGCTGCGTGCCCTGTGAACTTTTGCAACAAGGATCTGCTATCAGTCCATGTTCCGCGCATCTTCAAACAGAGGCAAAAACAATCAAAGAGGATCAAATAGGTATATATATATTTAATATATATATATATTTGTAGGTATAACATCTATAGTACAAGAACTGGAATATATATGCATATCATATCATATTATAGAATTGCATAGCTATGTGCAAAAGCCACTAGAAATATAGCAGGGATGTGGACTTTGTGGATATGACTGATATGAGATTGACGTATGACGTGCAAACCGTGCAAGGAGAAGTCCAGGATCGACTCCAAGCTCCGCCGCATGGACGGAGCCCTCGAGGCCTTGAGCTCTTCCGTGGCCTCCATGGCCTCCGAGCACCGGACCCTGAAGTCGGAGCTGGAGAGCACGGGAAAGAGCCTGAAAGATCTGCAAGAACAGGTGGGCACCACCATGGGTTCCCTCAAACAGAAACGTGACTAATCACATCCACTTACAGATCTTACATGATCTTACTGCATCTCAAAATATCTGACACTGAACACTGACGTGCTGTCCCATGATCATCCTTTGGAAGGATGTGAATGGCCATGGATGCAGTAATCAGCTGGTTTGCATCTCACGGCGTCACGGCGGTCAAAGGAGATCACCCCACCGCGCAACGTTTCCAGGCGTTGCAGGTGGAAAAGGAGAGGTCCGATGCGGCCAAATGCCAGGACAGCGAACTCGGCCGAAGCACTTGAGTTGAAGTTTGGAGAGTTTGGAGATGGACATGTTGATTTTTTTCCGAAATATTGTGATGGTTGGTTGATCAAACTAATAGTTTTCAGAGGGTTGATACCAACGACCAGTTGATGGCTGAGTATTTCAATGGATTACACAAATCTAGCTTTGCTGGATACGGGGTCATGGAGAATGGGTTGATTTGTTGAGCTTAACCATGCTTAACCATTAATCTTGCTGGCAAATATTGCTAGATAGTGGGCTGACCTCGGGTTGACCACTGCTAAGGATGGTCACAATTCAATATGAGCTGCTCTGCACCGGCTGCAACTCCGAAATTCGCCATCGCGGCTCAAGCCCTCCAAAGGAGGGGCAGGCAGTGTTGAGGTGCAGTAAACCCGGCGAACTAAACAACCCACAGAGCAGTTGCATGATGTACCATGACCTACATGATGCAACCATGATACAAGCATGGTTTCATGAATCCAGAGTGTCATGAGAATCACATGATAAGAAGTCCGGTTGCTTGATGATTCCAAACTCCGATGGTAGTTGTTGACAACTGCTGTAACGGCATGACCCTGTCATTTTTAATGCCAACTTATCAAACTTGAGGCAAACCATGGCAAACCATGGCAACCCGACACAGCTCTTTGGCCATAACCAATGAAAGGTACTTGAAACAACCCACCAATCAACAACCATCCTGGGAATGTGACGTAGCCAACCATTAGGGAGCTTGATTAAGTACACCAAAGTCACCATGAAACTGCGAACATCATCTAACAATCAGCAGTAGCTTAAAACATGGTGATTTTAAACTTCCAGATGAGTGAGGGTACACCTGATATACTTTGTTCCTTCCACCAGTTGGTCAACAGTTCAACTTGTGATAACGACGACCTGCCCATGTGATGGGCATTGAGAATTCCGGTTCAGAGCAGCACTTGGGGCAACTTCCATGGACTTGCCCGGCTGCGTGCCGGTGCTCCCCGGCAAAGTGCCGTCCGGTGCGTCCGGTGCGTCCGGTGATGCGCTGACTGCGGTGGTGGAAAACGACCTGCCAGCAGCGATCCAGTTGCAGATTGGCACGGAGGTGAAGGTCCTCTACCCCGAGGGACGGCACAGCTTCCAGATGAACCTCTCCCAGGCGTTGGTGGGGTCCTGTTGGGTTTGAACCAATCCAGGGCAGTTGATAATTGTGCAGTGTCACCCAGCAGTGTTGGCCATCATTAAATAACAATTCCTATTAATCAACTAATATTAACCAATGATTAGCCAATACTGACCACCAACTGACCCAACTAATTAAGCAACACAACATTCTTTAACCAGGCGGATCGTTCATCGTCCACTGCAGTTCCACTCAGGTGACGGAGCCAGGCGGTACGGTGCAGATCTGCTTGCGGGACGAGCCAAGGATCTCTGGCACAGACAAGGTCTTGTTTGGTGCGCCAAGGATCAAGGACAGGCTGCTGGAAGCACCAGCTGTTGCCTTTCTTGGGTGGTGGCTGGGACAATTGCTGGGATTCCATGTGCTAGTAAGTGTGCTGGGATCCAAGTCACCTTGTTCGTTGGATATCCGGTGCTAATCAGTATGATTTCTTGTATTGTTGGCTGGATATCCAACTTTATTGTTGGCAATGATTGTCAACACCAATTCAGCAGCATCGTCTCTCCAACTTTGTTGTTGGCAATGTTTGATTGACAGCCATAGTCTCAGGAGTCTGCCTGCTTCACGTTGAGAGCCGGTTTCGCCTTTGGATCCTTCGGTGAAGAGGTCTTGGAGTTCTTGCGCCTGGAGCAGATGGAGGTCCACCGAGAGCGGGAGCTGAAGAAGGAGCGCCACAGCAACCGTGAACAGGTGAGCCAAATGCCACATGGCGCGTTGGGTCAAGGCTTTAACCAGCAAAAATGGAGGATAATAATCAACAATAATAGGTAAAACAATGGTTAATGATGGTACAGCAGGGGTACAGGGTGAACTGACCCACAGCCACATCAAGGATTTGGTCTTAGGAGATGTCACCAACAATTGCCACGACCTCGTGGCAGAACTGCCTTTTTGTTTAAAGAAACATATTGGGAGGGTTACTAGTGACCAGCATGGGCATGGCTTTTGACAGCGAGAAAATTGGATATCACCAGTTGAATCCCATCCAGTTGAGGAGCGCGAAAAGATGCTGCAGGAGCAAGTGGAACTCGAACGGAAGAACGGTTTGCGTTTTGGGTGCCCCTACTATTTCTCCGCCATGCTCTGCAGTGCTGTGGGCTTGGGACTGTGCGCGTGTGCGTCCATAATTGCAATTCGGAATGCTTTTACGGTGTCATTTCTGAGTGTGGTGTCCGTCTTCTTTCTGGCCGTGTTGCTGTTTTTTGGTCTCATGGCTCGCACTCGTGGCGCGGTGTTCCATCTGCAGTCTTTGAGGTTGCTGTCCTATCACTGCCCACTGGTATGCATGATCCTGGGATCCATTTGCGTGATTACAACGGTGATCTTTTCATTGATTGATGGTTTCTGGTGGTCAGCGCTGATTGCAGTGCCAGCATTTTGCTATTTGGGTTGGATGAAGTGGCGCTTCTGCAGTAATTCAATGGAAGAAGAGCAGGAGGCTAGTATGGAGATCGATGCTCAAAGGGTAGCTGACCGCACCATCGTGTTCCATGGCAGTATCCTCAAGGGAAGGGGAAGGCCATGTGTGTGCAGCTGGCCTGGAAAGTATGCATCTGCTTGGGATGCACTGGTGCAATTTAGCCGCAATGGCGACCTCAGCGCAGCTGTGGTCTTTCTGCCTCAGGGCTCTGAGAACTTTGGGAGTCACGACCCAATCCCAAAGGCCGAAGGGATAGAAGGGGACTGCTGGTGTGACCCCTTGTATGGAGAGAAGAAGCCCTGGGGTTGTCGCTGGTGGAGCAAGTGGATAGCAAACATCGAATTAGCAATGAAAGAAGGTGCCAATCTGCACGTCTACTTCTTCAAAGGCATGAAAGGTAAAGGCAAAGTTGAAGATTTCTCAACTGCTGGTAGAGAGCACTTGCAGCGAGAAGAGATACAGCTCAAGAAGAAGGAACATTTCCCGGAGTCACCGGAATTTAAGGTGGCACTTGAAGGTGGCATCCAAAAGCTTTCGAAGGAAGTTCGTGCAGATGCCTCTTCACAGTACTCGCGGGAAGTGGATCGGCTGTTCCTGGCCTGGCTTCCAGATGAAGAGCGCAAGGTCATAGAGGTGTGAAGCCCCTGGCTGATCAGCTTGTTAGGGCTTCGGAATCGCTATATCTGATTGTTGGAATTGTTGAACTCTTGTTGCCTTCATCCTCCCATATTCCTCATTTTGGTCACTGGCATAAACCATAATTCAACGTAGAACACCATATTCGTCACTTTGATCAGTCGTGCGAACCTTCAATTGTTAGTACTACCCACCGTTTGTTGTGGGAATGAAGATCTCAACCCATGCAGGCGGCTGAAGGCCTTGGAAATTCTCAGAAGGCCGAGGTTGCATGGCTGAAAAGGAAAGGGTACGACTACACGGAGATGGAGGTCGACGTCAGCCAGTGGATTGGGGAGCAGGCCATATGGCAGTGGGCTGCAGATGAGCCATGACTTTGGCCAACTTGAGCAGTGAGAGTTCTTCTTGTCGATTCAGTTCTGCTTGGTTCTATTTGGGATTTCTCATGGGTTATGGAAACCAAAGAAAACGCATGGATCAATCATGATGATCAGCTGGATTGTTTCTGGTTCAGTGATTATTATGACACAAACTCAGCTGTAAACCGGCGAGTATAGAACTCGCAACCGCGATTTTTTTGAACCTCCCAGTTCCAGAGGTGAACATCAGAAATGCCGCCATTGCCAGTTTTAAGCTTTAAGTTTTAAGTGAGCATCCACAGAGACAACTCATTTGCAACAATCCCTTCCCCGCAACAATACCGACAGCCCGCCTTAAGACAGCGCCCGCCTTAAGACAGCCGGTGTTCTGTGTTTATAAATGCGCCCTGATGAAACCCTGATTGATATTTGTGAATCTGTTGATTTGGGGCTTTGCTTAGCGAGGGGTGTTTGATATGAACAGCTATCTGTTGTCGACCACAGTATCATCGACCGTGGACAACTACTATCATCAACCAACAGTGTTAATGGTTTTCGTCATTGTGTTTGGTTATCATAAACCATCAGCCATAATCATGATTGGTCAATGAGTCAATGACCACCATCATGATCACGAGAATGATCATCATCAACACCACCAACCACTGATACTGCAACCATCGCGGCACGGGAAGGGATGATCCGGTCGCACCATTGTGCAGCTTCCATGGCCAAGCCATGGGAATCGCGGAGATCAAAGAGCTGCGCCAATGGCTTCAGCTGTCCACGGGTTGCCACAGCCCTTGTCATGGACGAGTGCTTACCAAGCGCGAGCGGGTGAACAGTAGCCCTGAAGGTAAGCTGATCAACCTTCACAAACCTTCACAAACCATCAGAAAAGCCATTAATTTGGGACATTTTGGGACCAGTCAACCGTTTCCTAACCACTTTTAAACTGTCATGTTAATAATGAATTATCCGTAATCTCGCCATTGAAAAGCCACTGTTGACCATTGTAGAACAGATTATCAGCCATCATTCCCTTCAACCACTATTAACCACCTAATCAGCTTCTCAATCATCACAACTCGAAGCCACCCGCTTGTCGCCCGTAGGATCGAGGAGTTCAGGCTGGGGTGGAGCCGAAAGATGGGTGCAGCGATCATCATCATCATCATCATCACCATCATCAGCATCATCAGCATCACCACCATCACCATCACCACCATCACCACCATCACCACCATGACCATGACCATGACCATCATCACCATCACCATCATCATCATCATCATCATCATCACCATCATCATCATGATCATGATCATCATCATCATCATCAGCATCACCATCATCATCATCAGCATCACCATCATCATCATCATCATTCATCATCATCATCATCATCATCATCATCATCATCATCATCATATCATCACCACCATCATCACCATCATCATCATCACCATCATCCTCATCATCAGCATCATCATCATCACCATCACCATCAGCATCATCATCATCATCATCATCATAATCACCATCATCACCATCATCATCACCATCATCATCATCATCACCATCATCATCATCATCATCACCATCATCATCATCACCATCATCATCATCATCATCACCATCACCACCACCATCATCATCACCACCACCATCATCATCATCATCATCATATCATCACCAGCATCATCACCATCACCATCATCATCACCATCATCATCATCATCATCACCATCACCATCAGCATCATCATCATCATCATCACCATCATCAGCATCACCATCATCACCATCACCATCATCATCATCATCATCACCATCATCATCATCATCACCATCATCATCATCATCACCATCACCACCACCACCACCACCATCATCATCATCATCATCATTCATCATCATCATCATCATCATATCATCACCACCATCATCACCATCATCATCATCACCATCATCCTCATCATCAGCATCATCATCATCATCATCACCATCACCATCAGCATCATCATCATCATCATCATCATAATCACCATCATCATCACCATCATCATCACCATCATCATCATCATCATCACCATCACCATCATCATCATCATCATCACCATCATCACCATCATCACCATCATCCTCACCATCACCACCATCATCATCATCACCATCATCATCATCATCATCACCGTCATCATCATCATCATCATCATCATCACCGTCATCGTCATCATCATCATCATCACCATCATCATCATCACCATCACCACCACCATCATCATCACCACCACCATCATCATCATCATCATCATCATCAGTGAAACTATGGGCATATAGACAAACAATTTTAATGGTTGATTTGTAGTTCCCAAGAACTTTATATAAGGTAGCAATTCTCATCTGCGATTGAACTTACCAATGAAATGATACTCAGTCTCCACGGTGGCATTGCTGTGGATCTGAGATGGCTCATGGAGATCAGCAACCAAAAAAAAACACCCAAAATGTATCAAATGTATAGTTTTCGGAATGAAAGCACTAGAAAATTTCGCGTCACTTTCCGAAACACAAACCATTTACAGCTTGATTCTTGATCATGTTGTTTTGATCTATTTTGGAGCAACCAGAGATTGATCGGCGTAGGCTTTACATACACACGGTACGCGTAAATACAAGCACGCAAATGGAGGCGAGCGCACACAAAAGCATATCTGGTGTAATGTGTTTGCTCCAAGCAACCCCACACACACACAAACACAAAAAACGCGCACAGATATGCACATACACAAAAGATTCTGTTTTTCTCGAAAACCTGGTTCATCATAGTGAATCATCAGGATTCGCTAGTCCCTGGTTTATTGGGGCTATTTTAGCCCCTGATCAATGACAACAATCAATGATCGTGATCATTTTGTACAAACCTATTCTATAGATACTATAAGTGGATCCACGCGTATTGATACTGTACTTCGTTTCATGGGAGTCAGGGAAACAAGATTGAACCGATTCTCAGCAGCGGGTCATTGGGGTGATTCCCTATAATCAAGCACTACTAAGAACACTGGCTGGTGGCTTTAAACATTTTCTATTTTCCCCAATAATTGTTGGTTGACTAACAGTTTTGGGATGGTTTCCGATAAAGTAACAGTTTTGCACCTTAATACCATGCTGATATTTTTTATGCGCCATGAGATGATTTTGCCAGAAGAACCTCAAAGTGACCCGGCAAATTGACGCTGGCGTCATGGACGTTGTGCCCATGACGAAAGGAGATGCACCTGTCAAAAGCTGAGGAGAAGGCCAAGCCGAGGAAGTAGCTGAGTAACCCAACGCAGTGCGTGCAGTTGGATGAATTAGACGATTTAGGTGATTCATACCGTGATATTCAGTGATATTCATGATGATCGGGCTCTTCGATTCAACGTTTAATTCATCAGGAATCATGTGATGGTCTATGCTTTTGATGTGGTATTTTTCTCCATTTTCGTGTGTTACTTGCTGTAGTACTTGCATGTTGCTTCGAAAGTGGGAGCTTCCCATGGCTGGTGAATCTGGTGAGGTGGAACAGATGCTTGAGAACGCGACTGTGGTTTGGCTGCACAGTTGTGACTGTGCGGAGCCTTGTTTTCTGCTTCTGATATTGATTACTGTCACACACCAAGGATAGCTTCATGTCATTGCTCACGCGCCTCGAAGATGCAAGTGGTCCTGCTAATGTTCTAGTTTTGGATAGTTTTGGAATTGATTGCGGCAGCAGGCGAGTTGATATTATGATATGTTGTGAGGATGTAGATGAGGCTGGCTGCCACGCAGCATTCCACATCACCCTAGGTTGCGCTCAGCATATAAGCACAGAGATTTTTTTCTCCAAATATTTTGTGCAAGATGGGCAGGGAACAGCCTTGAGATCCGCCCAGTGAATTCCAAGGGCCACCAATCAGCACCTTGACGCGGCGGTGGCGAAACAAGCCTCTCTGGAGGAGGTCTGACATGGGGCGTCAACTGGGCCTTGGTACCTTGGTGCAGCTGAACAGTGACAGATTGCCCCGCGTGTTAGGACCTACGCCGCCTCGCCACTTCTGGGTCGGAACTGCAAGGCAGTTGGAGGAACTCAGGGTCCTGGTCAGGGTTGACATTGATTTACACTCTGTAATAAATTCATGGAAAAATCAATCTTTGTGCTGTCAGCCCTCAAGATCGAAAGCATTTCTTGGAACGATTGCGGGCTCGTGAGACTGTGCGCCAGGTTGTAGTTCCTCAGCCTCAGAGAGCAGGTTCCAGAACCGCATCGTCACATCGATGTTCTTCTTAGTTGTTAACAGCATGGGCCGCTCACAGTTTTGATTCGTGAGGACCCTTCCCAGCTGCAGGGGCGAGGTGAGCTTGCAGGACAGCAAGTTCAGGGTGGGATTTTCATGTAATATAGTGTGTGTGTGTGCGGGTGCGTGTATGCACAAGAGTAATAACACTGCGCACACACACACACATACACAATTGATTTATATATACTGTAACTCTAGAATCGGGAATAATTGGGTCACACACACACAAGGGCGAAGTGGATGCCTGGATGGTTGCTGAAGTCTTACGCAACACATCCTTGTTGTTGTCACTGGCGTGATACTAACACGCTTCCATGAACTGGTATCATGGTTGATGACTTGATGAATGATCATTGTCGATTGTTTGCTTAGATTGGCTGAGATGCATCATGATGCAGGGCCCTGTGTAAAGGGTATTCTGTCATCCCATGATGCCAAACTGCCAGGAGTCTGTCACAAGAGAAGTGAGGGACTGCATCAGCACCTCGGTGGCGATGAATAGCGATGAACAGCAGTGTCAAATCTCAAGATGCTTCCAGGAGGCACATGTCATGGCAAGGTCGCGGCAACTTCCTGCAGAGTGACTCCCTAGGAGCATGGGAGAAGCGCTTAAGGTGCAGTCCTTTCGAATCTCGTGTGCTGCTGTATATCTAGAAATCTAAGTTAAATCATGTTATGAATCAATTTTAAATCCATAGATCCCAAAGAGGTTGAATTACGTCGTAATTACGTTGCATTGCATGAAGAAGTGCCATATGCACACAGACTGCGTGACGCTTTCAGAAGCCTACCTGAGGCGAGAGCATCGCCTTGAAGCTGCAGCTCTTTGGGAGGCGACCCTGTGGTGCTGAGAAGATACTGGGTGTAGGAAAAGATGCGAGATACGAGAAGTTGTGTAAAGAAAATTAAGTTTATAGACCAAAGTCCTTGTGGCTTCACGATTCACACCATGATTTCAAGATATCACGAAAGGTAGCCTAGGCTACCTGAGTTCTATGTACTTTAGTACTAGTTTAGTACTGGGGGAGGTGGGTGCTCCTTTCCCGGAAATTGAGAGCCGAGAGTCACGAACGGAGACTTAGGGGGGGGGGGCCCCCCCCCCATTCGATTCCCCCCTGGTCCGCATCTCTTTCTTTCTTTTTCTCTGACTATGTACTTACCTCCTTATCCATCTATCTATCCATGTATCTATCTATTTAGTTGCCTATCTATGTATCTATTTATCTATCTATCCTTCTATGTATCTATCTATCTATCTATCGATCTATCTCTATCTATCTATCTATCTATCTATCTTTTGATCGATCTATTTAGCTATCGATCTATCTATTTATCGATCGATGCTTCTATCTGTCTATCTATCTATCCATCTATTTGTTTATTTATCTATCTATCTATCTATCTATATCCTTCTATCTCTCTATCTATCTATCTATCTATCATCTATCTATATATATATATATCTATTTATCTATTATCTATCTATCGTATCTCTCTATCTATATATCTATCATACATACATACATACATACATACATACATACATACATACATACATACATACATACATACATACATACATACATACATACATACATACATACATACATACATACATACATACATACATACATACATACATACACACAGACATACGCACATACATACATACATACATACATACATACAGACATACATACAGACATACACACATACACACATACGCAGATACGCACATACATACATACATACATACAGACATACATGATGTAACATAACATAACATTATATGACTTAGTGTGAAAAACATTACATCACATACATACATACATACATACAGACATACATACATACATACATACAGACATACATGATGTAACATAACATAACATTACACGACTTAATGTGACATAACATTACACCACATTACATAACATTACATTCATACATACATACATACATACAGACAGAAAGACAGACAGACAGACAGACAGACAGACAGACATATTTACAAACATACATGGATACAAAGGAGTTATCTGGTTAGTGGCCATAGTCAACTGGCCCCATGGTCTGCAACATACACCTAGAATCCTTTCTCGGGCATTGTAGAAGGAAAAAAATTACGACCGAGTTTTTCTACTCCGCTCACAAACTCGGTCGTAATTCTGTGGGGCATTTGTTGGCTCTGAATTCGTCACAGCCAAGCAAGAAAGCAACACTGGACACGTCATACCACTTATAATGTTTCATAGCTCTGGTTTACTAAGTCATCCAAATGGACTGTCGTCTATGTACTTGGCTTACACCCCCCAGTTACCCCAGACTGGCTCCATTTCATTTCAAATTGGCCATTTCATTGCAAACTGGCTCCATTCCATGGATGAAATTTCCCTTTCTCATGGGAATCCACGGCAAAACAACCCTGTGGATGAAATGTCTCCTTTTCACCCGCCTGCGCTTATGCCCGCCGGGCATAAGAACAGGCAGGCCCTTCATCGAACAGGTTTTGGGCCTAAAATGGTGAAAAAACAGCCTTTACCCTGCCAAACCTGCGCTGCCAAAGCCCCGCCTGCGCTTACGCCCGGCGGGCATAAGAACAGGCAGGCACCCAGGCCTGGACCAGGCCCTTGCAAGATGATTCCAAGATATGTAGGCCCAACATAGCTGCCATGGACGTACTTGGGGCCAGCAAGTCAAAAGCCAACAAAAAGCAACATACGCGCAACAATGGCACAACAAACCTGCAAGATGACCTGACATGGGGCTCAACAAGCGTCTGAAAAGTGGACGACATGGACGAAATTGAGCTCATGTTTGGCCCAGAAATGTGTACTTTCTGTGTTCTTGGCCCCCCCCATTCGATTCCCCCCTGGTCCGCATCTCTTTCTTTCTTTTTCTCTGACTATGTACTTACCTCCTTATCCATCTATCTATCCATGTATCTATCTATTTAGTTGTCTATCTATGTATCTATTTATCTATCTATCCTTCTATGTATCTATATATCTACCTATCGATCGATCTATCTATCTATCTTTTTATCGATCTATTTAGCTATCGATCTATCTATTTATCGATCGATGCTTCTATCTGTCTATCTATCTATCTATCTATCTATCCATCTATTTGTTTATTTATCTATCCATCTATTTGTTTATTTATCTATCTATCTATCTATCTATATCCTTCTATCTCTCTATCTATCTATCTATCTATCTATCTATCTATCCATCTATCTATATATATATATATCTATATATCTATTTATCTATCTATCTATCTCTCTATCTATATATCTATCATACATACATACATACATACATACATACATACATACATACATACATACATACATACATACACACAGACATACGCACATACATACACACAGACATACGCACATACATACATACATACATACATACAGACATACAGACATACAGACATACAGACATACAGACATACAGACATACACACATACACACATACGCAGATACGCACATACATACATACATACATACAGACATACATGATGTATCATAACATAACATTATATGACTTAGTGTGAAAAAACATTACATCACATACATACATACATACATACATACATACATACATACAGACATACATGATGTAACATAACAGAACATTACACGACTTAATGTGACATAACATTACATCACATTACATAACATTACATTCATACATACATACATACATACATACAGACATACAGACAGACAGACAGACATATTTACAAACATACATGGATACAAAGGAGTTATCTGGTTAGTGGCCATAGTCAACTGGCCCCATGGTCTGCAACATACACCTAGAATCCTTTCTCGGGCATTGTAGAAGGGAAAAAAAATTACGACCGAGTTTTTCTACTCCGCTCACAAACTCGGTCGTAATTCTGTGGGGCATTTGTTGGCTCTGAATTCGTCACAGCCAAGCAAGAAAGCAACACTGGACACGTCATACCACTTATAATGTTTCATAGCTCTGGTTTACTAAGTCATCCAAATGGACTGTCGTCTATGTACTTGGCTTACACCCCCAGTTACCCCAGACTGGCCCCATTTCATTTCAAATTGGCCATTTCATTGCAAACTGGCTCCATTCCATGGATGAAATTTCCCTTTCTCATGGGAATCCACGGCAAAACAATCCTGTGGATGAAATGTCTCCTTTTCACCCGCCTGCGCTTATGCCCGCCGGGCATAAGAACAGGCAGGCCCTTCATCGAACAGGTTTTGGGCCTAAAATGATGCAAAAACAGCCTTTACCCTGCCAAACCTGCGCTGCCAAAGCCCCGCCTGCGCTTACGCCCGGCGGGCATAAGAACAGGCAGGCACCCAGGCCTGGACCAGGCCCTTGCAAAATGATTCCAAGATATGTAGGCCCAACATAGCTGACATGGACGTACTTGGGGCCAGCAAGTCAAAAGCCAACAAAAAGCAACATACGCGCAACAATGGCACAACAAACCTGCAAGATGACCTGACATGGGGCTCAACAAGCGTCTGAAAAGTGGACGACATGGATGAAATTGAGCTCATGTTTGGTCCAGAAATGTGTACTTTCTGTGTTCTTGGAATAGGCAAATTTTTCCGAATCTGTTTCCTAGAAGATGAAATAAACGCAGCATAGAGCCAACATAGAGGGAAGATGGCCTGACATGGGATCAATTAGCTTTCAACAAATGCCACAAAGCGTCAGCATAAGCCTGGCATAGGCCCAACATGGCCGCAAGATGGAATGGCACAGGGTCAATAAGGGTTCAACAAGCACCTAAAAAAAACAACAAAGGCAAGATGGACGCTTTTAAGGCTTGATTTTCCTCGTTGTGTGACAATGAATCCAGTAATTGCTCTGTTCAATCAGCCACACCAGTAAGTACACCACCTAAAAAAGAAAAGTGGAACAATCACAAGCACACACACACAGAGTAATGTTGGGAGGTTAATAATAAAGCCCCTCCCAAGACAAGATTTTTTACCGAACTGAGTTTGTGAGATCCTTTTTTTCATTCATTTTCAATTGCGCCCATTGAGTTTTTTAAATTCAATGTTGAACCCCTGGTCTCACAGCACCCGCGAATAAAAAAGCAGAAGGCCAATAGTGTTATATTGTTCCCCGAACTATCTATCTATCTATCTATCTATCTATCTATTCATCCTTCTACCTATCTATCGATCTATCGATCTATCTATCTATCTATCTATATATATACATATCTATCTATTCATCTATCTATCTATCTCTCTATCTATATATTGATCTAATCTATCTATCTATCTATCTATCTACCTACCTACCTACCTACCTACCTATCCTTCTATCTATCTATCTATCTATCGATCTATCGATCTATCTATCTATACATATATATCTATTTATCTACCTATCTATCTATCTATCTCTCTATCTATATATTTATCTATCTATCTATCTATCGATCTATCTATCTTTCTATCGATCGATCTATCTATCTATCTATCCATCGATCTATCTATCTGTCTAGCCATCTATCTATCTCTCTATCTATCTATCTATCTATCTATCTCTCTCTCTCTCTTTTTCATCGGTCTATCTGTCTACCTGTCTATCTGTCTATCTGTCTTTCTATCTACCTATCTATCTAGCCATCTATCTATCTATCAATCTATCTAGCCATCTATCTATCTATCTATCTGTCTGTCTATCTATCTACCTATCTATCTGTCTATCTTTCTATCTATCTATCTCTCTATCTCTCCACCCATCTATCGCTCAAAACTCTCTCTATCTATCTATTTATCTATCTATCTGTCGGTCTATCTATGTA